TCATTGGCCACGAATTATGTCTTCCTCGTCGTTCCTGGACACTTGTGCATGGGCTGAACGGGAATGAATAACATGACCCATGGGCTTCATATGGACTTGCGTGGGCCACCGTTGCATGAGACTCTTCAGAGGGCTTACGTGGATGGACCATAAGTCCATCACAAGCCAATGAGCACAAGGGACTACTGGAAGAGAAATCATAGTTGCCAGCCGACACAAGCGACCTTGGATTTTATTTTCCTGCTATAGACGATGCTTTAGGAAAGGCCAAATTCACTTTCATAGCAAAAAATTGGACGGTTGTAACAAATATAGCTGCTTTTGGAGAAATATTAGAAATAATCAGAATTTTGAAAGTTCGATGACAAAAATAGCAATTTTCGTTACATAGTTTGACGGCTTCAATGACACTGTTAGTCAAACTAACAAAATGCTTGCTTGGCTGCCAACTCAACGGACACATCATCGACAACTCAACAACACTTCTCACATGGATGCCATGTCATATTTTAATTTAAAAATAAATAAAAAATCATACAAATACAAAAATCAATTCTTCCCTTCATCTCCACCGACCCCACCCCCAATCACTACCACTACCCCAAATCGCCGTCGTTGCTCCCGTCCGTCATTACTGCCGATCTCTCTTGCTACCAGCCAGCGACAATAACCACACCAGCTATGCCCAAAAAAAAAACACACACACAATTTACCAGGAAATTGCAGGAGGAGATGCGATGAACAAGCATGTTTTCCTATATGCGATGGAGAAGCCAATTCACACAATCCCTTACCTTCACTCTCTTTTGTTGAGGCAGGATCTGTTTTCCTATATAACTAACTAAGCATTACATCCGAAGGAGGAACAAACAACAACAGCTGCTGCTTATGTCAAAAACGAAGAAAAAAAAATCACACCCTTAATTGGGTATAAAGGATTGGACGAAGCTATCAATTGGATATTAGGGATTTCGCGTTTACCCACACCCATCTGCCTCATCTTTCTCTCTGCCTCTGTTGTCGGCGATGGATATTGAAACAAGGAAGATGGCGACTTCTTCTCCCGCATCCGCCAGTGAAACTGAGACCCTCGCCATGGATCCGGTGAATAAGCTCGAAATCATGCGAGATCTGAGGGATTTCGCGGAGGGGCAGGAGCAGATGAGAGATGCTTGATTAACCTCAGGATTCGGAAGAAGGGCTGCTCGAGCGGCGGAAATAGAGGAGGCTCGCGCGGCTTCTACGGAGTTGCTATCGGTTTGACTGATATCGGAAGCAGATCCGGGAGGATTTTTCGAATAGGAGCGACGGTTGGGTTAACGCACGCAAGGGGAATGAAGAGAGAGAGGAGAGGGATTGGAGTAGAGAGAAGTTTGCAAGAAGGTGGAGAGGTTGAGGGCGAGGGAGGCGGCGGTGGATTGGGGGTGGCCGGGTGGGGTTGAGGGCGAGGGACGCTGCGGAAGAAGATGAACAGGTTGGGAAGGGTTTGCAACACTGTGTTGGCGATGGAATATTTTTTTAGGGATTTTTTTGTTGTTTTTGTTTGTTAAGTTTATGTACGTGGGAAATACAAAGCTTTTTATTTTTTTCCTAACCTTTTAATATATTTTTTTTAAATCCACGTGGAAAATACTTATGGGTCGGAAAACGCCACGTCGAACAATCCGTTAGTCCAGTCAGCACGTTAACCAACACCGTCAAATAATTAGATGGAAGTGGCTATTTCTTGTATTACGTCAAAAGTGGCTATATTTGGCAAAATTGTCAAAGTTTTGGCTACACAAGTGTATTTGGCCTTTAGGAAAGGAATGTATCAACATGAAAAAGGTATGTATTTAGTAAATTAATGTGGGAGCAGACCTGATTGTGCTATGTGTTTTCTCACTACTCTGCCTGATGTGGAGATCCTAAGATTAATACTATGGCCCGAACTTTTTACCAATATACTATTTCAATCCGTATTTTTCAAAATTTCTATCTTTGTTTAATCAACACTATTTATACTATTTTGGTTGGACGCGGTGGTTGACCGTCAAATTGGAAGGTCAATGTCGTTGACTATCGATCAACGCGCCAAGTCAATGTCATGTCAGCATAAACAATATAAACAATTATAATTTCATTATTTCAATCAATTAATTTGTTTCTGATTTCATTTATTAACTTATTAAACCATAAAATGAAAAATTGCGGCCCTTTATATTAAAAAATGAAAAAGCACATTTTTTATTTTCATGTTACTGTTTAATAAGTAAATAAATGAAATTAGAACGTTAATTGATTGAATTTTTTTAATTTGTTTACTTTGACATGACATTCGATCAAAAACTCAATCCATAGTAGGTAAAGGATCACTGAATAAGACTTGAGACCTAGGTATAGCATAGTTCTCATTGAGCCCTCTAATGAACTGTATCACAAGATTGGTGTTTCTATAACCATTGATAGCTGCATAAGTGCTATGGCTGGTAGGCAAACAAGTACAGATCGACATGAACTAGTTTGTAATTTTTGAGTTCTTCCTAGACTGACGTTTAGAGAAGCCGATAGGCAGATTTTTATTAATTGGAAATAAAATGTTAGAATATCCTTTACAATATATCATATATATATATATATATATAGAATATAAAAACCTATACAGTACTCAAAGTAAATAAACTTTACAAGATCACCTATGCACTAAGCAATATCTACATCTAAGTCCTCGTCGTTTCCTCCTTGGACAACTTAGCAAGTTCTTATTCTAACTCTTGCTACTCTAACTAGGTCACCTTGGGCATACCCTGTTTCAAATTACCCTGTTTTCGGACTCCTCACACTTTTGCTGATAAGATCATCAACTGATTGCAACATTCAACTCTTTACCATGAAGTTGTCCATGGCTTGTACATAGCTTCCGTCAGTGCTACTTCTGATAAGCTCCCATCAACGAATCCTAGCTTGTTTTTGGAGGCGAGTCCATCAATCATCGTTGCACTCCAATTGTTGTAGGTGGTTGCGGTAAGCTTTTGAGAAACTAGAATCTGACCCATAGAGATAGTATGGGTCTGTGAGTGGGTATTCAGTGGTAGATCTACCTCCACGGGAACTAGAATGGGTTTGTGATCCCACATTGTGGGGTGGTGTTTGTTCATCATACATTGTTGATTAGAAAGGAAACGAGCAAAAAGGAGACAAGAACACGAAGAACAACAAAGAACAAAAAAGGAGGAAAAGGGCATCATAACCCTAACCAGCCTATCCTATGATACCATAACAAAGAAATTGGTTTGTAAATTCAGAGGGTGAGAAAGGTTGTGTTGCCTTTCATCTTCTTCTTCCTTTTTTGAGGAAGTGGTTAAGTGAAATCGGATTAGGGTTAGCTCGAAAGAGAAATTGGGAATTTTGATTAGAGCCGAAATGAATTGGGAAGGAAGACTCGACAGGAGTTGACTGATAAGTCAAGCTCCTAATCTCTCTGCCTTAATTCTCTAATGGGCTCAAATCAAACAAATGGGCCAGGACCCAATAATTGAAGGTAGCGGGCTAAGAAACAGTCAAGCCCTGTTTCTTTGAAATTGAAGCTGCTTTAATTTGTTCTTCTGTGAAGAACACGAAAATGCAGAAGGAAGAAAAACAGAAGAAATCAGAACAGAGTAAGGGAAGAGAAGGACACACAATCTTTTTAACGAGGTTCACTCTTGTGCAATGGTTACTTCCTCGTCCCAGGATCACAGACCCCAGGAGACTCTATTTGATTTTTGAAATTGAAAGACAAGAATACAAAAGACACAAATGATCAAAGGTTAAATGGAAAAACACCTGAGTTGCTAACCAACTCAGTTCAGCCACCACAGTATAGAACCTCTACCCCTATACTGTCCACCCTTCTGTAACTCAAAGCTAAGACCTGTACCCTTTGCTCTGATTCCCACAAAAGTAACTAATACAGCACCCTTGGAATATATAGCTAAACAAGCTATCCGTTGCAATTGAGTAGCTAGCCGTTGAAAATGATTTGCTGAAAGCACACCGTTGGAGAAGATCCGCTTGATTGAAGCATTTCCCTTATTCAAATCAATCTGCAGGGGCTTGGTAATCGGCAAATCAGACTTACCTTATTTCAACATTAAGTACTATACATGGGTCTCTCCCAACAAGAGCGTTTTTGGTACCAGTTGGTTTATTACACTTGTATATTCGATAAAAGATGCCATAGGCTTAGAGCTGTGCTGTTGGCCCTTTATGTAGCAGGAATTCGTACAACTTAAAGGAAAGAAAAACAAATTAAACGGTTACAAGGAAAACCAATAACTAATGTCCACATGTACTATCCATTGTTCTTTTCTATTTGATACTGGACGACACCATTCCCATAAGTTACTTTCCTTCTCACTGCTTTCATGGTTCGAGCCACCATTTCCATTTGCATTGTCAGAAGAAAATACTTCTTCTGTTAGGTGGCGCGGAGGAAGATTGTCGCGGTACAGAGTAAGAGAAAGAAGAGGAGCTTTTGGATTGGGTTCAGCGATGGCCGATGGTAGATGCATGAACAGTTGCGCGCGTTGGCATGGATGTCGATTGGAAGGCAAGATTTTTGTTTTCCAATTAGAGATTTTCTTCTTCTAGGTTCGATGAAAAGGTAGGAAGAGGGCCGTGAGAAGATAAAGAGTAGGGATAGATCTGTAGATGACTCTGTTGGATTATTAATTTGATTTTTTATTTTGTTAATTCTTTTCTAAAATAATTTATAATTTTACTATAAATCACCGACTTATTTCTTAATTGTTACTGCAAATCACCAACAATTGAATGAGTTCATCTTTTTTTTTGGCTTTGTTACAATAAAATCGTTGAGTTCATTATAAGGTGTGTGTGAAAGAAAATGATTATTGATCTTTCAATATACCCGTTTCGACCTCTTTATTGATCATTTTCCATATTTCTTCCATTTTTGCTTCGCACGCCCAATCGCGTCTTGGCAACACGCTTAATCGGACTAGACGCTAGTCAGGAGGCCAAAACTTAACACTTTTTTAACCTTACTTTTCAATAATGTGTATAAATGATTCAATGTTCCATGTTAAGATTTATGATGAGATTGAATAGAAAATCATCTACAAAATAAAACAAGAAAACCATCTCAAAAAGAGTCAAAATTCTCAGAGGGGAGAAACAAATCCACCTTCCCATCTCCCCACAAAAAAAAAAAAAAAAATCCCATCCTTAAAGAGACTTCCTAATGAATGAAGGTATACAAAGAGAGAGTATAACCCTGCCCAAGAACTAGAAACATTAGTGAAATCCAGAATGTCCCATTGGCGCCCTCAGCTGAAGCAGAGAGGAAGAAGGAATGGAGAAATAGAACCACTGCAGACAAAAGAAAACACTATGTAAGCCACGAGCAGGAAGATGAACAGTAGCAACATTAGCCTGCAACCATACAAAGAAGCAACAAATTATGTACCGATCCCAATTCCCAAGCAGCAAAACTGTTGAATGCATATATCAAGAAAGAGAGGAAATGAACCAGAACGTACGAAAGCTTGACATTTCTCCACCACATGGCGTTTCTATACCGGCGGCTCTGCCTCCTGAACCGAATCGAGTTCCCCTGCATCGCCGCAGTTTTGTCGACGAGGACCGCTAGCCGGTCACCTCTCTCCAGCACTTTCTCGATGTTGTTTATCATCACTATCCGCATCTGCCCTCGAGTCCCATAAACAGAAACAAAAAGAGTAGCATCAATTTTCCTGATCAATTTTTCATTGAGGCATTTCATCGAACGCCTAATACAATACCCACCTCGTGCATTTCGCCCCTGATACGATCCAGCCTATCCGCCCTGGGATCATTCGAGTAACGCTCCATCTCCCGGCTCAGCACCCTCGAGAACTCGTCGTTCATCGCGTAGGCGGCGGCCGAGCTGATTGCCCGGCCGTACGTCCGGACGAACTGGCCGTGGATGTCCTCGAGGAACGCGAAAGGGATCCTCCCTGCATGCATTCATTCATCAAATCAAAATCCAACCCCGGAAAGCAAAAAAGGATCCGGATTTCAAGCAATGAAAACGGAATCACTCACTCTCTGACGCATCGTCGGCCATGCAGAGGACGGCGACGCCGTCAGTGCGCTTCACGTGGAAGACGTAGCGGTCGTGGGAATAGGAGGAATTGGTGTCGTCGTTTCCTTGGGGCAATTTGTCGAGTACTTGGCGGGCAATTTGACCCGCGTTGGTCTGCGCGGCGCTGAACTCGGCCAACACCACCCGGCCTCTGGCCACCATCCCGTAGAGGATCCCCATGTCGGCGGCGGATCGGAACGCGGCGGGGAAGCGGTGGCCGCCGGTGCCGGTACGGTGGGATTCGGGAAGGTGGAAATTTGGGATCTTTGGGCGGTTTCTTCCATCTTTGTTCTCACAAGGAATATATTGGGAAGAATTTCTTGGGTGGTTCGAATTGGACGCTGCATATTGGTCAGGGAAGAGCTCTTTTTTTAGGGTGACGGGAATTAGGAAGGAGAGGAACAGAATGGGAAAAAAAGGGTATGGAAATAATTTTAGCGGGAAAATTGAACCGTTGCAGAGAACCCGGGGAAAGCTTGAGGTTAAAACGCCGCCGTTTAAATGATCCAGGGGTGGTTCGTTCATTTGGCGGGAACTGAGTTCTTATGTGCCTAATATGAATAAGAAATAACTGATCATGAGATGAGTTTCAGAGTAAAATGAATTTTACTGTCACATACAAAGTAATTAATGTTAGTATCAACCAATCAAGTGATCGGTAACAAATTATAAAATCTGCAGCGTATTATCAAGCATTAAAAGGAACCTAAAACTTGAACGAAGCAAAATTGTAACAAACGTCAAGTTTGGGGACAGGTTACGGTGATCACCGTGGTTACTAAGGGTAAATTGGGTATGGAAAAATAAATTATATTAATTAATTTTTTAATAAATTACATTTAAGGTAGTTACAAAAATCTATTAATTAAAAATCTCTCTTTCTCTCACTTCCGTAATCTCCAGCCAGATTTCCTTTCCATATTTTTCTCAATCTTTCTGCAAAAAAAAAAAAACGAAATCAGTACCAATCCATTAGACAAACACTACCACTTTGAAAAATATCAATACCATTGCAGAAATAAATCTATACCATTACACGAAAACTACCATTGCAGAATTAAATTTATACCATTACACGAAAACTACCATTCAAGAAATAAAAACACTACCATTTCACAAAACATTAATACCATTCAAGAAATAAAAACACTACCATTTCACAAAACATCAATACCATTGCAGATTTAATCACTACCAATGCGATAAAATCAATACCAATGTAACAAAATCAATACCAATGCGACAAAATCAATACCAATGCGACAAAAATAATACCAATGCGACAAAAACTATACCAATACGACAATAACACTACCACTACGAAAAAAATGACTACCATTTAAAAAAAATCACTACTGAAAAAAAATGACTACCATTTAAAAAAAACATACCATTCCAATGGAATTCCTCCTTCCAATTGCAGAGACCGACTAAGCAAATTAGTTACAGGAAATCTCAGTCCTTGAACGACTTGAGCATGAGGCAGAGAAGGGAGGGTTGCCGAGAGAGGCTGAGCTTGCTGTTTGTCATCGGGAAGAGGAACGATGCTCTGTGGGAGGCGGTGGCGGAGACTTTTAAGGAGATTTCGGAAGCGGTGATGGAGAAGGACGAGATGAAGAGGTTGGTGCCGGTGACGGCGGCGGTGAGATCAGTGAGGTGGATGCCAGCGGCGGCGAGGACCGGTTCGATCGAGTTGGGTACGGTGGAGGCGGCGAAGGTCGGAGGACACAACGGCACCGCCGAGAAGAATAGATGGTGGGAGCCGGTGGGTTGGGTGGGAGGAGGGTAGAATTAGGGTTTGTGTATATATAGAATAATCCAGTGTGGTTTATTTTTTGTTTCCAAAATTATCCTTGAGCAATCATAATCGTTAGATTAAAAAAATAGGAAAAAGATAAAAATGGATGGTGGATATTGATGTAGCCAAGGTGGCTACTAGAAATTTAGTAACCAAGCTAACTCATCCCTCAAGTTTGGCATCGGTCAAGAGTTTATTACTATCATAGCCGACACAATAATTAATTACATAAATGTTATAGCATCAATTAAAGTACCCATACTTAAGATTTCAAATACACCTGATGAGTCATTTGGTAAATATGTATTATGGTGATTTTCACATTATTGCGATTTTGTTACATCACTCTACTACTAAATCATGTTATTAATTAAGAAACACTAACAAATACCCTACTAAAGATCTTTTTTTTTTTTTTGCAGTGGCAATGTTATAGTATAAAACTACATTATATGATCAAATAGTCTAAACAATCTTTGAAGCAATTCTTACAAACGAAATACTATACTACGACACCAAAATCCTAGTTCTTACAATTCCACTGACGATAAAATACACGAGCTATCCACAAATATGTAATAAAACATCTTCAATCGTCTTTAAAAACGTTTCGATCTATCGCAATTGCCGTAGACCAATGGTCGACTAAAATCCTTTGTGAGTTTTACATTACGTGCGATTTGCAAAACCCTACCTACTTGTCCTCTCGATCTGCGGTTGAAAGATAACTCTGCAAATGAGAGCTAGCCACCACATCACACAAATTCACAACCCTACCAAGAGATATCGGACGCCGAAACTGAGCCACAGATATCTCTGTTTCTTATAGCAAACAATCCAGCTTCCAGCCATTGACGCTCAGCTAGTGGCAATCTTTTTTGTAATATGGCGCATGTCGACAGCACCAGTCCACAAAAGCTTATCAATGCAAATTTCCTTTTGCAGGTTCGAATTGCTGTCTTTCCACGACGTTGAACTCGACCGGAAGGGTACTGGTGTTGTCCACATTACAACCCTACAAAAGCTTTGTATGCACATTGGAAACTTTTTGGAATGCAACATATTGTATAGTCTCGATCGATCTCCAACTATATTTTGTTAATCAACGATTGTTGGAGAAGCTTATTATGTATAGTAAAAATGTCTTAAGAGACTGATTGAACGACTCGAGAGAATTGGAGAAGAACAAGAGATATGAAGAAATTACGATGACAATTGAAGGAAATTATGAATTCGAATAATAGCGATTGAAATATTTCGGCTAAATGTCAGATTTGGTCACTGAGATTTAATAAATCATGTCATGTTTGGTCACTAGAAAAAATTAATATCAATTTTGGTCACTCGAATTACTGAAACATGTCACATTTAGTCACTCTCCCGTTAACCTCCGTCCAACTCCGGTCACTTGAATTACTTCTTTTTTTTTATGAATGTCACTCGAATTACTGAAACATGTCACATTTAGTCACTCTCCATTAGCCTCCGTCCAACTCCATTAACGGAGTTGGACAGAAACTAAAGGGAGAGCGACTAAATGTGACATGTTTTGGTAATTCGAGTGACCAAATTGATAATAATTTTTTCTAGTGACTAAACATGACATGATTTTGTAATCTGAGTGACCAAATGGGGCATTCACCCGAAATGTTTCATAACAAATTCTAACCGTTCTCTCGAAATGAAATAATGATAAGAATTAAAAGTATTCAAAATAATATAGGTCAGGGAACTAGGACGCGTACAACCCAAACCGACTTTGATCCGAGGCTCGCTTACTATATGTAAACCCATTTACTAGTCTTCTAATCTTAGCATATAAGTAGGATCATTAAACGAAGGACCGATGGTTGGATCAATCAAGGTGGTCGTCGTGGTCATGGAGTTCTTCCCCGAATCTTTTCCGTGGCATCACATTTATATTCCACTCGCTCAGAAGAATGATTTGGGAGTGAAAAACATTTGATGCCATAATAATGTAGCCTTTCACAACGAGAGAAGAGGGTAAAATGGAAACGAAATGTGAAGAAAGAGAAAGGCAATCTAGCAGACCAGTCACATCGGATATGGGCAGAAGGAATCACGGATGTGCAAATATATTATCTATCTATCTTTCTTCACATACAAAAATTGCCCCACAATGCTACAAAACCAATCCAGCCTTTCTATGCAAATGCATTTACACATCATATGATATGTAGACATGATGCATGCATATATATGGACCAATATCATCATAAGATGGCATCTTTTGTAACTAGCTATAGCCTAAGTGCCTAACAATGGTGGTTCTTGATGGTTCATGGTATGCCCATGGATCGTTGGTTTTCATGGGTCGGATAGTTTTTAGTTGGTTAAAACACTAGAAACAGTAAATGGTATATGATTCACGATTGAACTTCTCTCAACAATTCGAGTTATTGGGATTAACTGGTTCTTGACATGGTATCAGAGCTTTCTGTAACCAAGAGGTCTTCTGTTAAAATCCCGATTACCCCCATCTGTTTCTGTTAAGCACATAGTATCCGGACATGTGCAAACTTCAAGCCCATATATGATCCACGATTGAATCTCTCCCAACAGTTCGAGTTATTGGGACCAACTGGTTCTTGACAATGTTTTCATGTCTTTCTAGGATATTCATATGTATATACGATGTATATTTTGTCATAAAAAGAAGCATGATGTAATTGTCATCATTCGTCTCATCGTCTGCCAAGAATTGTGTAGTGTCAATAACTCGAGTTGTTGAGAGAGATTCAATTATAGATCCTATACTCATTACTAATACACCCTCTGAAATGGAAGTTCTACTTGTATGGGTTTGAAGTTTGCACAGATCCGAATATTATGTGCTAAACAAATGGGGATCCTCACGAACAAGGGCTTGGCCTAGTGGTAATATCACTAGTCTAGAACCTGGATGTCCCAGGAACAAATCTCTTAAGTAGTACTTTAATCACAAAAAAAAAATTAAAAACTTATATTGCCCTTAAAAAAATGGAAATCCTCAAAGTTCGAACATAAAATGACTCAATCATCGAAAACTCTAAAGTCATGACAAAAACTATATGGTCCGAACAACTTTTATTAGAAAAAAACTAATCTTACATCATTTGCTAACACATTCAGAATTCGACATAAAGCCACCATTGCCATCTTCTCTCTAACCTCCATCTCTCTCGATCTCATATTATCCCTGTCATGGGTGATTTCTATTTTGGTTTTAATTTTAATTTTAATTTTAATTTTAATTTCTGTTTCTGTTTCTGTTTCTGTTTTGGTCCTCCAACTATCTGCATAAAACCAGGTCACATGGTTGCCTTGCTGTATCGATTTGTTTTCATCTTTTGAGTTGGGTGACTCTCTCTTTCACCTCATTTTAGATTCATTGCCAACCAATGTGCTTACTAACAAAGACCGGCAAGTGGGGTTTCTCTATAGTCTATATACATTGGTCTCCTCCCTCATCATCACAATCCTTGTGTAATAAAGGAGAAGATTACCATTTTACCAATTTTCCATGTAGCTAACTATACCATAGTAACTTTTAGAGGTCGAGTCAAGTTGGCTTTGAAAGCCTCAAACACAAAGTAGGAGAATACGAGTTGTGGTGGAGCTACGTGTATTACATGATCAGTTATATAACTCTCTTTAATATTTTTTTATAGATTTTAGAATAAGAGGCGTATAAAAATGATACATTAAAAAGTGGTACAATATACTATCAGCGATTCAGCTCCTTTTCACGTTACTTCCACTTACTTATTTCATTCAATCGAAACTTGTAACAAAAACATATAAAGGGAGTCGGCAACCCTAATAATCATCTTTCTTTAATTAACTTTATCTCGTCAAACTTCACCATCATTTCTCGAACACTATTCCGATACAGTTCTTGACGAACTGAGTTAAAAAAAATTCCAATTGTACTTTCTTACAAGAGTGAAAAAGTAATTTTAACCTGATTATGATATGGAGTTAATCAGATCGATCTCAAGATCCTCTCTTTGATTATGAATCAACATGATGATCTTGCACATGGCCACTGCCCATGATTTCGATCCATATCTATCTGTATATGGTGCCATATGAAACCCCAAATCTACAATAATTCCGCACCCAAACTTCTGTATCCACCTCATAATGTTTCGTCATTTTTGTAAACTAGCTACATCTCTGTAGATATTATTGATAGGTCTCCTTTCATGTGGACCTATATATATAGATGAATATACATATAATCATGCATAAAATTTCCTTCATTTTTATCTTCAAGATCGATGAAGAGATTACTCAAATCCAGCTTACAAAATTAAAGAGAACAACTTTTTTCACTACCAACCGGCGGGTAACCAACTGGGGTATAGTGTATATACATAGGTGTGTTCATATCTAAACTTATGTAGATTTGTGTTTATAAATGTGTCATTTATTTAATTTTGCACTATGGTAAATGAGTGGTATAAGATTTGATCTTGTACTTATCTTCATAACTCGAGTTGTTTGAACTAATTCGTTTTTTAAAAAGTATTGGCACCGAGCCATATTGGTTGAAAGGCCAAGTATTTTGATCTTAGTAAAATCTAAAACATTATAATAGTGAGTTCGTTTTTGGATGATAATGATTAACTGATATAAACAAAGCTATGATGAGTTCGTGCAATTTTTCAAATATAATGAACTGTCGTTTAAGGGGCATACAAGATCTCATCTTATGCATTTCTTTCAACAACTCGTGGTAATCATCAAATCAAGTACTTGAGGAAAATAATAAATTTATTTATTTATTTAAAAAAACGAGAAGCATTACGCTAGTGTTTTTCATTAGACATATATTGTACCGGGTCTGCCAATCCTAATGATAAGTACCAAACTCGGAATACTTTATCAATTATGAAATTATCGTGATAAATATGACATGCATGAAATTTTCATATAGCACCTCAATATAGACCAAACTCGTGGTGAATATTAAGTTCATTTCCGACACATCGCGAAGAAAATATTGCACATTAATCCGAGCCATTACATTTTTAATGATCTCATGACTCTAATAATTAAATTCAATTATCTATGAAACACCCACCTTTTATTTTGGATGAATTATGAGACCCAACTCAAGAGCTAACTATTTTCCTATCAACTTAAATACCTAAGCAACTAAATTGTTAGATGAACCATCACAAGTAAAAAGGATAAATAAAAGAATGTATAAGAAGAAAAAGATAGTGCCTCTTATTACTTGTACTACAAAGATAAAGACACATATAGTGTCCTATTCATTCTTAGTGGGGAGTGGTAGTACTCCTTTAACTTTTACCACCCAAAATACATTTGTAGCTGCAATAATCATCAAATGGCTGATATTTGGTCCAAAAAGGAAGTAAAATTAAGTGCCTCAAATGCTATTAAAAAGACCCCTTAACCTCATTACTTCAATTGGGCAAGTGCCCTTTAAACACCTTTTAACGATTCATTAAGCTTTTTTGCTTTGGATCCCTGGATTTAAGGGTATGAAAATAGAATGTCCTTCTAATTATAGGGCAACATACCCTGTATAGTTTAGGACCGACGTACTATCTTCTTTTTCCCAAAACAGCTCACTCTATAATTAGGTCCGCGTAGTTCTATGGGTTTGTTTGTTGGATCTTATCTCGCACCGAATGCGAATAAGAATTAGTTGATCCCGATAATTCAAGTTATTATAAAATGTTACTCAATAAATATTATGTCATTTCCTTATTCACTTTCTCAAACGAAAATCAGTCTATGGACTTGATCTTTAAAATGTATGTTTAATTTCAATTATCAAGTAGTTTTAATTAAGCGAGTTGCTTGGAAAGGTTATGAAATAATCCCATATCATTTTCTTACAAATGCCACCTTGTATCGATGGAGGAAATTCTCAACCTCTACTTAGATTATCTCCCTTCATATTAGTAAGTGGTATATGATATATAATTGGACAACTCCCAATAACTCGTGTTATTGGGATCAATTGGTTATTCACACGGTATCTAAGTCTTCTGTCATAGAATGGTCTTCTGTTCAAATCTCGCGGAATCCCATTTATTAAGTATATAATGTTCGGATCTATGCAAACTTCAAACTCATATATATTGGCTTTTGTTTGATGGGTGTGTTAGTAATATGATTAATAATTGAATATCTCCCAACAACTAAAATTATCGGAATCACTAGACTGATAGCTTAAATATATAAGACAATAGTTTAGTGACCATCATATATGCATATAGAGCCACTCTCTCACTGCATTATTATATTATGCTTCCCTTCTGTCGCATTGTAATAAACGTGAAGGATGAACAAAAGGAACGCCACTAGTCAATTACTTAAAGCTTCGTCTCGAACTAGGTTTAATATAATTTAGGTGGCTAATCAAGCACATCAACAGATAATTGGTCATTAGTCATTCCATTAGTGTAGCAAAACATTCCTAGTCGGCAAATTAGAGTCTAGAGGAATGTTGTTTTAGAATATAATCACATGCTTTCGAGCTCATATTCCTTGGATTAAACCCACGACTACTATAATTATAATTAAGACAAAGATGAAAAAGCAACAAAGAGTCTAAGTATGACCTAGTTCATACTAGTTCTGATATCGTTTTATAGCAAATATGGATTTTGAAGGACAAGAACTTTGATCTAGCGGTTTAAGAAAATTTTCGGTGTTGAAGAAGGTCAAGGTCAACAAACATGTTGTATAGTATTGTTCAAGGAGAAAATAAAGTTAACTGAAACATATGGGAAAACAGAAAGCTAATTCTAGGAAACACACATAGGTCCGTTCATCAATCCCATCAAAGACATGAAAATCTTCAGTGCATCAATGTTAGTGAAAATTATTGTACAAATACATCATTTTCTCTACTGAATACCCAATAGAATTACAACTAGTTATTAGTTAACATGTACAGTACTGTAGCCCCCCAGTGGCAACTGAAGGAGATTCACAGTCAAAATAAATAAATAAATAAAACAAATTCTCTAAAATATTAAACTATATTGGATTCATCTATTTGTAAGGTAGTTTTGCCAACTTGCAACCTTTGGCAGCACCTTGATCTCTTCACGTGAACTGGTTTTTCTCTCTACCTAGCCAGGCAGTCCTTTTCATTTCCTTCTTTTTCATTTTTTTGGTTAGGGCACAATAGTCCTAAAACAAAAGAGAATGAGAAACCAAAACTTTGGGTTGAAATTGATAAATTCGAATTGGGTTATAGGTATAATATGCCCCTTTATTATGATGTTTTGTCAAATATGCTCCTCTATTATTTTTTACATCAAACATACCCATGTACTTTGGAAAATTTATCAAACATGCCCTTTTGCTAAAATTTCCATCCAAAAACCGTTAACCAAGACCGAACTTTGGTTTGAGCGACCCAAATATCTAAAACATCTCTAATAATTTCACTTTAGAGTTTTTTTTCTTTAGTATAGCGAAATAATTATAATAATTTCACTTTGATGAGACTTAGAGAAATAAAGTAAGGGTCAAAACTGACATTTTCCCTCCCATTTATCGATGTCATGTCATCTAAATCTCGGTTCAACCATGATTGACGATTTTTTTCAATTGAAATTTCAATTGAAGGGCATGTTTGATAGTTTTTCCAAATTACAGGGGCATGTTTGATGTAAAAAATAGTAGAGGGGCACGTTTGATAAAACTTCATAGTAGAGGGGCATATTATACCTATAATCCATACGAATTTAATCGAGTGATTATGGAACTAGATTTAATACTCATAAACAAACAACAGATTTCAAATCACTTGATTAACAAATGAGTTCACAAAATATTACATCACACACTGAATTAAAACCATTTTTAACCAAGAATTAGTGAAATGGGATACCATCATATATTCTCAACTTCCTTTTTCACTCTCTCTCTCTTCCTCACTCTCCAAAATCTAGTATATATAAAACACATGCACTCACTCCCTCTCATTGTACACCAACCCTCTCCATTATTCCTTCATTCACCAGGAAAAAACCCCATAACCCCAAAAAAATGGAGACCTCCAAATCCTCAGCTGCTCTCCTCCTAATCTTCATGCTCTTCCTCTCCTCCGCCACTCCCATCCTCTCCTGCGGCCATTGCGGCGGGAAACCTCACCCCAAGCCCAAATCCCCTTCCAAGGGCGGCCCAATCCACCTCCCAAAAATCCCGCCGGTCACCGTCCCCACCGTCCCACTCCCCAAGCTCCCCGTCCCTCCGGTCACCGTCCCCAACGTCCCACTCCCCAAGGTCCCCGTCCCTCCAGTCACCGTCCCCACCGTCCCCATCCCCAAGCTCCCCGTCCCTCCGGTCACCGTCCCCACCGTCCCCATCCCCAAGCTTCCCGTCCCCAACCTACCCATTCCTCCGGTAACCGGCGGGTCCAAGTCACCGCCGGCAGCCTGCCCGCCGCCACCGGCGAAGAAGGAAACCTGCCCAATCGATGTCCTGAAGCTGGGAGCCTGCGTGGACCTGCTCGGCGGGATCGTCCACGTCGGGCTCGGGGATCCGGTGGTGAACAAGTGCTGCCCGGTGCTCGCCGGACTCGTGGAAGTTGAGGCCGCCGTTTGCCTTTGCACTACGCTGAAGATCAAGGCGTTGAACTTGAACATCTACGTGCCTTTGGCTCTTGAGCTGCTCATCACTTGCGGGAAGTCGCCTCCTCCTGGCTACACTTGCTCCCTTTAGGGTTTCTAAGGTATGTATACCCTACAAGTTTCGGTACAATGATGATAACCCAAAATTTTCTAGGCGTACGTATGTGTGGTCCATATAAAATATTTCCTTCACTGAATTTTCAGCCAATTGTTCTAAAAAAATTTCATTCTAGTCTAGCTAGTGGGTAAAATATAGTGTTGATGGATTTTTCGTTGGGTGCGGGTTTTATCGGTTTTTGAAATTGACGAGTTGGATCGGGTCTAGTTTTGTTCAAAATCCACCCCGCTTTGTACCCGATGCATGCTCATAAAGTAGAAATTATGTCATTTTGTATCTAATCAGAATAATTTGAATGATTAATGTGTGTTATTAGTGTTTATGACAATATAAACCTAATAATATGAATAATTTATGGATGTTGACAGTTTTTAGGGACGTATACATATATATGAAATTTTTTGAGTTTAGAGAAAGTCGACCCATTTCCTTCCCTACTCCCTTCAAATTCCAAATTCTAGTTAGAAATACACACATAACTTTTCAGGAGATCAATGGTAGAACTACTAGATTAAGCCCTTGTTTGCTAAGATATTTATGGATTATAATATATGGTTTTCATGCATATGGTGATAGTAGTTCTCTGTTTATGATAATGCAGCCGCTGCAGGCAGCTGATGCAGGAAGTGACATGGATGGATGATTGAATTACTCGACATGAGAGGATGTCGGGCATTCTCTCTCTTAATTTATATATTCTCTCTCTATGGTTTTTTCTTCTCTCTCTATTTTCATTATTATGGCAAAGGGGGTGTGGTTGTATTTCGAATGGGGTTTTGAATTGGCATTGAAGATGTTTGGATTCTAATGGTGTGTAGACCATTTGTTGTTATATGATTTGTTTGTTTGCATGGTGTGTGTGGGGTTTTGGTCTGTCTTAGAGAAGCAATTTGAACCAAGAGACCACGACACATCTTTCTCCATCTTCCTTGTCTTTGTGTATCTGATTGTCACGATACAAAAGAAACGGAACATCTATCTGATTGTTAGATTCTCATCAAGATAAACTATGAGCAAGGAGTTGAACACAAAAGTCGACATGCTTTTCCGAGCACATCACGAAAAGTTGTAGTAGGTTTCCAAAAAACTTTGATAGTGATATCTTATTTTCGATTGTTAAAAGTCAAGTCTGGAATCTTTAATTATTTCGATCGATCTATAGAAAAGTACAATTAACAACGGTAAAAAAATTGGTTTCAACGTCCTGTTTTCTATTGTTACATATTTCTTGAACGATGATTGTTGAATTCATTTTTCGGGCCCTGATAGTTAGCCATGCATCAATACACATTAAAATAACAATTTGAAATGTGAAAAAAAAAAAACTGTTGATTAGTCCATTTTCCTTATCTCACGCAATCTTTCTTCTGCTACTTACTTCTTAGCAATCTCAACAAGAGCATAACATTACAAATCCTCAAATGGTGTTGGCTCTTCTTTGAGAATCGAAACAACAATGGCACAGTGATTTGTAAGAGGTGACTTTGGAATGGTTATTACTAATTCTCATGGACATATTTGTGATGAAAATGCTAGTAGAGTTGTTCGTCTTTGATTGAGGTAAAGGCTCATGCTTTCTTGAAAGCGTGTTGACTAGTAGATACTGACAACCATCGGCGGATCGAGAACATAGTAAAGCATTGGACAACATTTAAATGGAATATTAGATACCGTAAACAAAAATATATAATAACTATAGTTTACATTATAATGCCAATTGTACAAGACGGTCTTTTAATTTAGCAAATCCAACAATAATAGTATCACCATCCATACCAATAGCATACTTTTTCTCAAGGACGAAGAAGACGATCTAAGAGAACATATATCACAAAAAAAAAAAAAGATTGGTCTAGAGGTAATACCACTAGTCTTGAACCTGAAGGTCTGAGAATCAAGTCCCTTAAATAGTATCTAATCACAGAAAAAAAAACATATATTACCCTTATCTAAAAACGTAGCACACAAGCAATCCGTAGCTTTTTTCTTTTCCCCCCATTTTTTTGAAGTAATTTTATAATTCAAAAAATTGAAGTCTAGCCAAACACCTCTACATGTTCGACTTTTGAAAAAAAAAAAGATTATTATTTTAGTTTTTTAGTTTTTTTTTTCCGCAAAACATATTTTTCTCTCATTTGAAAAACTCTTTTCATTTGCCTTGCTCGGAACTTTCCTAGTAGTAGTAAGTTGTTGGATCTTCAATCTTTTGAAAACGTAGCACACAAGCAATAAGTAGCTTTTTTCTTTTTTCCTCCATTTTTTATAAGTAATTTTATACTTCAAATTTTTGAAATCTAGTCAAACATGTCTACACTTTTAAAAAAGAAGATTATTCTTTTAGTTTTTTAGTTTTTTTCCGGAAAACATATTTTTCTCTCATTTGAAGGACTCTTCTCATTTACCTTGCTCAAAACTTACCTAGTAAGTTGTTGGATCTTCAATCTTTTGCTAATGATCTTCATGTGTAAAAAAGAAGTAGTTACATCTATATTCATCCATGTATGGATGAAAATCTTTAAACTAAAAATATACTAGACATGAGCTTATGTATTAATAACTATGACTAGCTAGATATACTTAGGTTACAAAGTAGTAATGACTCCATTTTGCTTCTACAACACACATTGTCAAGCTGCTTTTGAGGGTTTTCACGAGTGTCAAGGAGCCTTGTGGATGGGTTGGGTGTGGGCCAAAGTGCTTCGTGTTTTCAGTTTGGTTGAGAAGAATTGGACTCTCAGATACACTGTCGATGTCCAAGTTTACATGATGTACAAGTCTATCTCAGCAAGAGAAGCTTTGTTGTATTCACCAAGTGAGTTGCATTTTCGGTGTATGCATCCACATAATGCGAGGGTGGCATATGTGACTTTGAAAGAATTTTTTCTGCAGTGCAATATGGATACATGGATGTTCACAGTCATAGCATAGAATAAGAAGAATGTGGGTTGAAGCAATGTTTTGCCGTTTCAGCTTCTTCATTGGCCTACACCTCGTCCTATGCTGGGATCCCCCGAGGCATAGTAGGTAGATAGAGGGAAAAGAAATAGAGGTAGTTCATATTTAAAAACTAGAAATTTGTGTCTGAAAAATTGTATGTACCTGTGTTTTCGTGATGACTTTTGACGGAGTCATATATAGTTCTGAGTGTAATAGATAGGGCTCCATAGGTGTCTCTGCAGTTTTTCAATTTGATTTCCCTCCAAGTTCAAAGCTCGCAGTCCAAGTCGCTCTCTCTCTCTCTCCTTTCTCTGAAATGGGTCAGACCTTTGCTATCTTGCTTGCCCAATTTCTGACTACCTCCTATCCCGACTCAATGAAAGGTTCTACTCTTTTTTCTGTTATGAGTTCTCATTTTCACATTGGACTTTGATCTCCCAAACTGGAAGCAATTCTTTTATCACTTCTTTATGTTTTTCCTGTGTTGGCTCTAAAAATAAGTTTTCCTTAACTAAATAATTTGACAAGCTAAAGGAAGTATTATCACTTTTTATCGTCCCAATTAATTATTACATTTTTTATTTAAAAATTATTTAAAACATAAAAACCTTAAGAATGATAATCTTTATTACAATTTTATAGGGATTTGATTAGAGCTATCCACTTAGCACATTCTCTCATTAATTTTCAATACCCTAACACTATTTAATGATATGTATATTTTTCATTTCAATTTGAAATTTATATATTTTGGCATAGAAAACTATATTTAATGTAATTTGCAAAATCATATTCATTCATATATTGTTTATACTAAAAAGATATCCTTCTAAAACATGGTCACATTCACGTATTAGATTTCTTTGCATTAATGATACATAAGTACACCAAAATAGTATGAAATTTGTACAATCTTTGTATATTTGTGTACCCTATCGTTACTAAATGGTATGCATCTCTTTCATTCAATTTCAAAGTTATATATTTTTCATAGAAAATTTATACTTATGCGATTTACACAATAATTTTAGTTCTTAGATGGTTTAATATAAAATCTTACCCTTCTAAAAAACATGGTCCAAACATGTGTTACGATCCTTTGTGAAATTAATACATAATTACACCAATATGGTATGAAATTGGTAAAATATGGGTATAATTTTTTGTATGTTAATAGAGTATAATTGAAATTATTGTGATATTATTTTTGTACCACAATAATATTCGAAAGTCTCATCCGCGTGATAACATTCCTGATAGACTTGCATTTTTCTTTTGGTTTATAATATTTATAATCAAATAAAAGATATAAATAATCAATAACGGTAAGTTTGGAGCCAAGACTTGGGAATTAGTATATTGGATATCTCTGGTTTGGTTTTACAAAAAACAACTAGTACATATTAGTAGTTGTTAGTTGTGTTGTTGTATTCTATGTTGTTAATTGGGCAACCATTGTGTGGGTTTTCATATTTTTATTATTATCTTTATCACGAGTTTTGCTTTTCAGTTTCTTTTATAGATTAGTATGCATATCATAATATCTTTACACTGCTCACGAGCACCCCTATCTTCGAGGTGGTAATTTTTCTCATATTCCAATGAGATTCTTACTATTGAAGGTCGTCAATGTGAAAACCAAATTTTTTTTTGTTCTGACAACTCAATAAAGAACTCGGATCTCCAATCATGTTTCTGGGAAGTGACTCGCAATCGATTCCAAGAGAAATACTATTCTTCATCTTAATATAATAATATAAATATTTTCATGACGACCACACGAATTTTGACTACACGATTTCAAATTTGGAAATATTATAAATATTGTTATTTCTTTAGGATAATGGTATTTGAGTGCAAATACTCAAACACGTCATTAAGGATTGACAATCTTTGTTTCAAGACCACATAGTATATGCTTTTGAAAACTTCAAAGTGAGTACTACAGATTACATGTCAATTTCGAACAAATTGGTGATCAAGTTCCAATCAAATACTACACTCCAAGCTTGCGATGATATTCTGACAATACCAGATATAAACTTGATTTCATCAAAAGATGAAATTTAAAAAATTTGCTTTGAATGCAATGCGGGAGAAGAAGAAAGAAATTGTTGATGGTGGAGATAGGTTTCATTAACAAAGATAAACGCAATGTTATTGATGGACATGATAATGTTGCTGATGCCGGAGCAATCAAAACAAAGCCAAAAAGAAAATTTGTAATAGTCTTCCCCATCAATGAGTAAATCAATGTGTGGTTTGATTATACTTGTTAGGAGTGAGTTCCAGTTAATGGGTTTAGTTCTTTACTTTAAATAAGGACTTTCGTTGATGCAAATGTTAGGACAACCGAAAACTCTGTGATATATGATTCTTTTTCAATTTTTCAATTCAAACATTTGAATTTTTATGGTACCAAATAGAGATATAGAATACTTTGTATAGTTGCTATTGTTATTTATGCAATTTACGTAATATGTCCGCCAACAGGCTTAATTCTAGTATGACTTTTTACCCATATTTCCCTCTCTTACCACCTTCCTATATCTCCCAACCGCCGCCTCTTTCCACTAAGAATCCTTATCGTCTAACAAGGAGCCATGATGGTGATGATGATTTACCAGAAGAAAGGAGTTGCTTGACAGCAACTAAGAAGAAGAAAAGCTCTGTTCTGGAACTGAAGAACAAGACGAAGGAAGAAGAACAGAGCAAAACGACAACGTTCAAGACAAGCAAGATGAAGCTGAATGAAACGATGACGTGCGAGATTAGTGGCGTACAAAATGCAGCGCTTCATCAACGGACTGCCTTTCATTATGTACTGTAGTTAGACACACGTGTACAGCTTTGATAGGTCATTTTGTTTGTTAGTTTTGATAGCCGTTAAGTTACAGTGATTGGTGTAAATCCTTGTATATATACTGCTGTTTCATCAATGGAAAAGCTCAGAGAGCAAATTCCCCATATCTGGACTTTCTTCTCATGGTATCAGAGCCTGGTTGCTCTCACCAGTGCTAGGGTTTCGTCCCTGTCCAGTTCTCTTCGCCATTTCTTCTTAAAATCTATCTCTTCACGCAGCCATGGGTGATGAATCATCCGCAGGAAAATCCACACAAACTTCTTCTTCTATTTCTGCAAATCCCACTTATGAGGATCCTTAC